TTTTTTTTAAAAAAAAAAAAAAAAAAAGTAAGTCAAGCCAAATAGCACAGAAGTTTACGTAAGGATATGCTGACATAATTTATAATCCTACGACGGCATGTGGTCGAATACAACTAGTAATTAATGTGGCGAGCAAAAACAATTATGTGTAAAATGAATTTTTGGCAATTCAGACAACTTGAATTTTAACTCAACATTTCCGCTCAATCAAGAAAGTTGACGTAATAGATTTGACTTATATTAAAAAAAAAAAATAGAAATAGACCTAAAAAGATTTTGTTATAAAATATAAGAAATGATCTTTCTTTATTAGATTTAAATGAGGATTTGACTACGGTCACCACCATTGTCCGTCACCACTATTGTCTCCAATTGTTGCCACTCCCGCAGCCTGCAATCACGTGATCACCTGTGGCCTCCGCTGCTGGAGACTGAGATCACTTGTGATCTCTACCGTTGCCGGCGACAACTAATGACCACCGCCTAGGCGATCACTGTCTTTTTTTTTTTTTTAAGGCGATCACTGTCATCATCATTACTTCAATTAAATTAGGTTATTCATAATATATATCATGATTACCATGGCCTCTTTGAATCAATCCATGGAGTCTAAGATGATTTCCTCAACAAGTTGACATCAAACCTCAGTTCTTAGACTCTTCTGTTTCGAGACATCAAATATTATTAGCTTTGCTAAGCTCAAAAGCTGACTTGCAATAAGCAAATATTCACCTTTGGCCTCCACCGGACAAAATTATCCTCTGTAATCAATGGAGTTTTAACATGCTCATTTGATTTCATCTTCTTAATCTCTAAGCCAATTTCAAGACTTTAGGTAGTCTTCTCCATGCAGTTACTTTCAACAGTACAAACTCGATGTTTGGCTTTAGAGATTTTCACCATTATAGACCGTTTGTAAACGATATTTCCATTAAGTTTCTTGCTTAAGAAAGACACTGCTAGCAAGGTAGAAAGAGCTTCAGGCTTCGTTTGGGATATTTTTTACTATTTTCTAAATTTGAAAATTCGGATTTATTAAATTCTATGATGTTTTTTAGAAAATTATTTGATATGATAAAAGTTAAATTTACATAAATAATTTGGCTTTTTGTTTTAGAATTTAAGAATTTAAATGCTTAGAATATATTATTATATTTATTTTACTTATATCAATCTTAATTAAATTTATTAAACATATAATTAAAAATCTCAACTAAGAATTAGTTTTATATATATACTTTATTTGTTTTATTGAATATTATTAATTTTTTATCGATTCTTATTTTTAATTAAACTATAATTAAATTAGAATAATATACTACAAATTATTAATTAATACTTTATGAAACTAATTAAATATTAAAAATCATTTAATCAAATGAAATTATAATTAAAATCAATTGTTTAATTTTTTTAACAAATTAATGTTTATTATTATGATTAATATTAAATATTAATTATTATATTTTATTTAATTAATATCAAATAATAATAATAGGCCAAAATCCGATTTCCTCCTCTTTCTCCCCCAAAATCTTGAAACCCTCCATAGAAAGGGAGAGAGAAGGTTGTGCCGCAAAGAAGCAAGGATGTCGCAACATCAGCTCATTGAAGATAGAGGTTATTACGTGCGGAGTCCGGACACAAAGAACTGCTAGGTTTTGTGACCATAAACAGTAAAAGCATAGTTACTATCCATCCACGCTCTTTTACTGTTCACTTATGCTCTTTTACTATTCACAGTCACAAAACCGAACGGTTCTTTGTATTCAGACTCAGCACATAATAATCTCTCAATTGAGTATATCAATCATTTTTCACCGTTACATAATGTAATAAAAATATCATTTTTAATATTTTCTATTTAAGTCTTTTTAAGATCGAACATACCTAATTTAATGTTCATAGGAATGACCGTAAGTGTAACATACATCATATTAAGCCAACAATTCCAAAAAATAACAATGCTAAGAAATTTATTAAGTTTGTGAAAATTTATCTCAATTTGAGTCCATTTATTCATTAAGATATGGCTTATTTGATTTGTTGAAAAAATAATTCTTTTGAAATAACAACATTTATTAAGTTTATTATTTATTTCAGCATAATTAGAAATTTATCTATATATTAATCTTGATTAATTTCTTTTATTTTTTTCAAAAATAACAAACAAAATTAAGCCATAATTTATAAACATATTTTAAAGAAATACTTCACACAAAACACCTAAATTTTATCTACAAACCTAATATCATTCGACCTCCTTTTTTTTATCTAAAAAAATATAAATTAAAAAAATTAAAAATTTTAATCTAAATATTAAAATTAATCACATAATGTTAACTCGTTTTTTTTTTAATTGTAACAAATTTTCAATTATTTAATGCATAAATATGCAAATTTCATAGTTAAAAACTTAAAATAATGACTAATGAATTAAAAAAAATACTAATAAGAATAAATGAAAATTGAAAATCTAAGCCTTTCGAGAGTATCGCTCATGGCAGCTAGCCACATCATGGTCTCCACGCTACCGTCCTCACCTCCCCGCCTCCTCCTTCCCCGACGCCCCGCCGGTACCTTTGGTCTCTCCACCTCTACATTCCTCTCTTCCTTCCAAACTCTAAGAGCCCCGTCAGAGATCACCCGCCATCTTCATCGCCGGCATCCGCTGCCGGGAGAGCTGGCAGTGGTGCGCGCCGGTCCGCCGAGCGCATCCACCCTCATCCTCGTCTTCGTTCTTCCCCTCTCCCTCCTCATCGGCACCATCTTGGTTTCCATCCGAATCGGCAACAAGCTCGATGAGAAATTCCTCGAAGAGGTGAATGTGAATGTGAATCCCACTTAAGCTCTTCATGTGTTCGACGATATGCCTCAACCATATTTCTACCCTGTTTCCGCCGCAGCTTGCAGCGAATCAAGCAATGGTGGGAGAGAACGAAGAAGAAGCAGGAGAAGAAGGACAGGAGGGATTGGAGGCGAGGGAAGGAAAGGAAGATAGAGTTATGGTGAAAGAAGAAATTGGCGCGGCGGCAGCCCGCGTTCGTAACCGCCCGAAAAGAGAAGTATGAACTGTTTGGTAGAATTGCTTTTGTGTAATTTGACACCAAGATTGTACCTTTAATTTGTTTTTATGTCAATGATGAAGAACTTGTGCCATTGAATTTCTATTATGAAATCCTTCAAGCGGCTTTAGAGGCTAACAGCATTTGTAAAAGTCTAAGAATTAATTCGAAAAATGAAGGATCTTAAGGTATATTTTTATGACTATAAATATCTAAATATTCTTTTTTTTTTCAAGTATGTTTTCATTATGGCATAAGTGTAAGCTATTATAACATTATATATATTTCTCTCACTATATTTCTATGTCATATTCTATATCCATTATCAGTCATGTCACCAAAAATCGTCTTGATTCAATATGAATCTCAAGACATATTCAAGATTGCAACTTTCAAAATTGAATTTGGGACCATCCGAACTCCAACTTCAGCAAATTTATAGTCAAATTAAATATCTCAAAGAGAAACCCAATGATGGCAAAATCGGTTTAATCTGAGCCAAAATAGGTCCAAATCGAGGGACCGAAGTATAGTTGGAAGCTTTAAAGCATTAATTGAATTATCAAATGATATTTAAATGTAGAATGCTTATAGTTGAATCAGGCTCGACGAGACGAATCCAACAAGCACAACAACATGTAATTTCAACATCATTAAAGCCATTAAATGTTGAATGAATGTTTTATAGTTAATATGAGTCATCTAATGGAGCACTCCAAAATTATCCTGGATCTTCTTCATATTTACATAAAGTGTCGCTCACTAAAATCTATAAATAGGCTCATACTCTCTTCATGAAGGGGACATGTTGGCTAAAGATTGGATAGAGCTCTAAGGCTTTAATTATTATAGAGTTCTACTCAACATCACCATCGATGAACTTTCGTTGACCACCGTAAGACCATTGCCCGGCAACTGCCGTCATTGGACCACCACCCATTCGTGGACTGTCGCGAGACCACTGCTCGTCCGCTAACCATCGTCGGACAACCGCTCTTCCGTCAATTGTTGTCGTACCACCACCCATCACTGGACCACCGTCTGGCCGCCGACCGTCTCCTAACAACTGCCTGTCTGTGAACGACCGTCGAATCTCTGTCTGGTCACCTACCGCCACCATACCTCCGCCTGGCCTCCAGTCATCGTCGAACCACCGATCACTATCGGACGTTCGCCCAACCACTAACCGACGCCATAACACCGCCTAACCACCATTGACACACCACTTCGACCGTCGTCACACACCGACTATAATCCCTTCGACCTCTATTGCTCGCCAACTACGGTCCATTTGACCTCTATCACCCGTTAACTCCAGTCCCACCAACCAACATTGTCTTTCAACTGCAGTCCCTTCGACCATTGTTGCCCACCGACTGCAATCCCCCTAAACTCCGTAGCCCACCGACAACAGTCCCTCAAACCTTCATCGCCAACCGACTACGGTCTCTCCGATCACCATCATCAGCTGAATACTGTCCCTCCAACCTCCATCACCCGTCGACTATGATACCTTGGACCTCTATGGCCTGCCAACTATGGTCCCTCAGACCACCGCACCCACCAACTACGGTCTCTTTGACCTTTGTAGCTTGTCGACTACGGTCCCTCATACCATTGTCACCCGCAAACTACGGCCCCTCCGACCACCTTTGCCCCCCGACTATGGTCCCTTCGACAACCTATTTCTCACCGACTACAGTCCCTCCGATCACCGTCTCCCACTAACCATGATCCCTCTGACCATGGTCGCCCACCGATTACAGTCCCTTCGATCTCTGACGCCCTGCCAACTATGATCTCTTCAACCATAGTCGTCCAACTACAATCCTACCGATCAAACAAACAAACTAACACTCTCTTGAGAATAACTCTCATATCATTATATTCTTCCAACTCCCGCCATGTAATGTGCTCTATATGACGTGAATTTTCTACATCTAGCCAATGCCTTCCCTCCAAGGGCTTTATTTGTAATCAAACATAAACAATAGCGTGATCATTTAAATTGGGTCAGACCCCATGATTTTTGCCCTTTTCAGCATTTCTTACATAAAAAATTTGGGGCCTTTTATGACTCTTACCCCTCTCTTATCTGCCTATGTGTTGAATCTTCGTATAAAATTAGACGCTAAACTCTATATATCTCTATCATTGTGAATGTTTCGGGATGCAACAAGTCCTCTTAGTATTGAGCATAAGGTTTTGTTTGGAAAGTTTTCTTACTGCTTTCTAAAACAACTTTCTAGTATAAAAATTTTTAGTTCGTGAAATTTTTGTACTAAAATACTGTTTTAAAAAATAAGAAGAAAGTTATCTCAATCAAAGCCTAATATATATATATATATATATGTTTGATTAAATCAGCTCCAATAATTTTTTTTCCTTAAATATATCTTATAGTTCATTCATATTTTTTCAAAATTGAATTTTGAAACTATATTCTAATTCAACTTAGAGAGTTTAAAAAATGCTTACATGAAACTCAAACGTGAAGACACAATGGAAGCATGAATTTTACTTTCAGTTTTACAGGGTTTTTTGGCCCTCCCTCAATTAGCAAATTTTTAAAAGTTCTAAAGCAATCGAAAATCAGGCATCAACATGTTCCATACAAATATGATTAGCCCTTTCTTCAAATCAACCAAAAGATCTTCATATAATGGGGTTCATTCTCTTTTCAAATGGGATGGGCAAAACCAAGAGTTCTTATTATTGTATTTTCACTTTTGTTTCCAATCACTCTCCTTCCATATTTATAGTGGTGAGCCTCTCATATAGTAGGAATCCATGTATAAATCTTTCATTTTGAACAACTTTCTTATTACTTTCTAAAACAACTTCATAATTAAAAAATTTTTAATTCTATAAATTTTTATACTGGAAATCTGCTTTATAAAGCAGCAAGAAAACTATCACAAATGAAGCAAACATTAAGGTATAAGTGAAAGAATATAGAGTTTGAAACATTACAAGGCTTACAAATGCAAGGCAATGTAACCATTAAAGAAAATTATTGAATGAATAAAATTATGTTTATTACTTTACAATATTCGAAGATTGGTTTGGTGATCATTCTTCTCTTAGAATGATTAGGTGATTATTATAACATTATGATTATTTGTGATTTTTGGTAAGGATGAAAACAATCAGAGTTATCTTAACACTTTCAAATATCATCCTATTTCATCCCAAGGCCTTCATCCTTCACACCAATCTTAATTCTAAGAACCCATCACACATTTGCATCCATTATTTGATATTAGAGCCAAAGTTAGCAAGTTCAAGGAAGCAAATATTTATTAGTATGTGCAACATGTTTCAAGAATTAATATGCTACATTTATCAATTGAATTTATCCTCATTAACATCACTATAACCTTACACTCAAAATCATCATTAGTAGCTAGAATAAAAAAATAAAAATAAAAATCATGGACATGATAAGCAGATAATTTCATAATCTTTATCACAAACTTGGCTTCTATTTGAAGATTGTATTTTAATTTATCTACTAAGAGGAGCTTCCCAATTAAAAAAATAAAAAAAAGCATTTATTGATATTTTTAATATTGATTATCCTTATATTATATTGCCTCCAAGAGTTACTTTCCCTTCATCACTATGCTCTAGCTTTACAATTTTGGTTCAATCGCTTGGTAGATGATTTGAGCAGCCATTATCCGAATCCAAGTATCATATGAAACCACTGATCCTACAAAAGCAAATAAAATCTATTTTTTATACCCAAACTAAATTGGGTCCTTTTTCATTGTGGTTGTGTGTGTTTTGTGCTTTACATGTGGATTCATAAATAGCCCTAAAAACTTTAATTCATAATTTAATCAGAACTTACCAATGTGAGAAATCTGCCATAATATGAACAAACAGATATTGGAATGTTATGGTAATAAGTAGAACATGTACTTGAGACATGCATTTTACTGTTTCTTGAAGTGGTGGTAGGCTGCTAGATGTCTGAGGTCTTGACAACTTAAGCTTCATTTAGAACAACTTTTTTATTGCATCTTAAAGCAATTTTCTAGTTATTTTTTGTACAAAAATTAATTTTTTTTACTAGAAAGCTACTTTCAGAAACAATAAAAAGCCATCCCAATAGCTTTCTTGTTGTTTCTAAAGTAGTTTTTTAATACAAAAATTTTTTTAACTAAAAAGCTAATTTAGAAGGCAAAATTAAGACTTTTTTAACAAAGTATATAAATTTTTTATTTTATTCTGATGGAATAAAAATCATGCTTGGACAATAAAAAGCATTATTTCTAAATCAATAGAATGTTTCTTTAAACATGAGTATTTATTTTTCAAAGATGTATGGCTTTCATCCATAGTCTCCACCATACAAGCCAACTCTTTATATGTGAATTTATTATGAAATACCTTTTCATTTTATGAGTTATTCTGATCATCCAAAGTCATTAAGGAGAATTTTTCATGTTTGCACTAGCATTAGTTTGATCATCAGCTCAATTTGATCCACTTGCCTTTTCAACATTAGTGATTTTATGTGCACAAAGCTCCTAATGAACTACTAACTCTTTAAATTTTGTGTCATTATCACCACCACCATTATCACAGTCACTTGCTACACTACTATCATTAGCTTCGACATTGAATTCATTTCACTTCCAAGGTAAGCAAAAAACTCATCCAATTAAATTACAAAATTTTAAATATATTACATTTATTTTACTCAACATTATTTATCAGCAAACCAAATGGCCACCACTACATTGAATTTCAAACATTTGCTTAAAGAGATATAGCATAAATAATCACCAGCATATTCAGTTGAACATACATTGGAACAACAACAGCAACATCAACCTTTATCCCACTACTTGAGATCGGCTAAATGAACCTTTTTTTTCCATTGTGTTCGGTTAAGAGTCAAATTCCATTTAAATCTAATAAAAAAGATCATTTCTAATATTTTCTAACAAAGTCTTTTTAGGTCTACCTATACCTTTTTTAATGTAAGACAAATCTAATACATTTACTTTCCTAATCAATTCATTGGAAGGCCACTGTTTTAGTTAACCAAACCATCTAAGATGACTCTCTGTAATATTATCTTCCACTACAGCTACTCAAACATTTTCACGAATATACTCATTTCATATCCTATCTCTAAGAGTAAAGCCACTCATCCACACGAACATCCTCATCTCTACAACACTTAATTTAATATCATGCTTCTCTTTTAATGGCCAAAATTTTGCACCATAAAGCATTGCAGGTCTTACCAACATCTTATAGAATTTTCTCTCAAGTTTCAGGACTTTTCCATCCCACAACAAGCCCGATGCATTCCTCCACTTCAATCATCCAACTAAAATTCTACTAATAATATCCTCATATATTTCACCATCACTCTGAACAATAGACTTAATATATCTAAAACATGTACTATTATTAATGACTTGATCGCCCAAAACTACAATCATCCCACTATATCTATTACTACTAAAATTAAACTCCATATATTCAATTTTAGATATGCTCAAACAAAAATCTTTAGACTCCGAGTATGACCTCCATAATTCAAGTTTACCTTCAACTCCCTCTCTAGTTCTATAAACAAAAAAGAATATCATCAACAAAAAAGCATACACCAAAGTACAACCTCTTGCAAATGTCTGGCAAGAATTGTAATTCTTATTCAAAGACATTTAGATCGAAAACAATCATTAACAAAAGCCTTCATCCATAGAAATTTTTTTTTCACTTATATTATTATCTCTAGACTTTTGTAATGCTTATTAACGTTCAAGCATTTCAAAACCACCACTATTGAATGCTAACCAAATAGGACAAGCTCAAAACAATTTGCTCTAATGCTCAAAATAGAGACCAATATTTAATTTCATCCCAAGACTTCTAAAAATTAAATACTCATCTAATCGATCAATAATTAATATTATTCCATCCTTATTTATAATTAGTCATATACTTACCTATTTATAACTACTCTTATGTCCTACCTCAAATCAATAAAACATTAGAGAATTTACTTCTAATTGCGTTACTTATTAATGCCATACATATTGCATTTACAAAACACAACTTATTTGGTGCAACAGAGAGTATCACTGTCTCACCGATTCACAGCACACGACAAAGCTATTATAACATTACAGTTTGTTAAAGGAACCAATATTAAAACAAGAAATTGCACTGCAAAAGAAATAAAAAAAAGAAAAGAAAAAGATTTGTAAGTCATTTCAGCCACCTAAGTTAGATTTTAGTATAACAATCTAAAGCAACAAAGACAACATACCAACTTCAATCCATGACCCTAATTATAAATTGCATGGCAAGCACAAATGAAAGACATACCTTCAATAATCCGAGGGATTTTAGCGCTCTGCAGAAGCTAAACAAATTGAAAAATTATTGTGTTCATATGAAATCAAAGTCTTTGCTTCTGTCTTAATTTTCAATTTAGTAAGCTTGTCAATTATGTAGCAGAATATGCACGCATAAATACCAGCATGGAAGATGCACCAGAGCAACAAATAAATAAGTGGCACTATTCCAAACCCATAGGAATTCGGACCATTCCCAAAAATCACCAATGTTAATGCTCTCGAATCCACGAAGACACCCTTTCAATATCGCCAATGAAGCTGGAGGAAAAGCCACCACTGCAAGCAATATATTCAAAATTTTGAGCAATGCTGCGGGAAAGATTGGTACCTGTATTGGTTGCTTCAGTGGCCGGACCATAAGACACATTGGAACAAGAAGAATTGATCCAACCTGAGCAGTTGAGAAGTTGATGATAGACATAAGGCTTAGGCCTATTGAAGCAGCAGCAATCATAACCGACTTCAGAACTTCCCATTGGTAACCTTCAACGTATGACTTTGTGAGACGCGTTAGAAGGTACAGTATTAAAAGAGAGGAAAGAGACCAAGAGAGCATGCTTGTTGTCGAGTTGGTGTGGGGTATTTGAGAGACAAAGTATGGAAGTAAGGAGACAATAAGTGCCCAAAGGTGAACGAGGAAGACCAATTTTGCTGAATGGAGCCAGTTCCATGATCCAGACCTTGTTACAGGCTTGGAATTAGTGGGCTTATTGTTCGATATGGTAGTTAAAGACCTCGCATTTGCTGTACTGGAAAAGAGAGCTGCGGCCACTATAGGAAGAGGAGCCACAAGCAGTGCAAACGCAATCATGTAGACGCCAACCGAGACAAACTTATTAGGAGCTGTTAAGAAGTATAGAAAAAAAGATTGGTGGAACTTTTCAAGGAGGTTATTCACCGACCGAATGACTCCTTCAATCAACCTGCATTATATGTTTCCAGTGCGTTACAGAGAGAGCGTGAAGAGTCATGTAAGAGTTGCCACATGTCAACAATAATAAAATGACAAGAGCAGTGTATTTGCCACACAAGGCCCAAGCCAAATTGGCATGTATGACATATCAATATCCAAGCATTTTCTAGGTCACATGAATGTACATAATGTAGACAAAAAGATGTGCATAAAGACATACATTAGTAGAGAGACGGTTCAGATTTTTATTAACAAGAATTACTTGCACATTGCATGAGGGCACATGCTCATTGGCGCACACACGCAAGCAGAACATAAATTGATGCAAACAAAGCTTCAGGGTTGTATTAGGGCCTGCCACAGAAAGCCTAGAAGTTTTAACTTGACCTGATATATGAATCATGCAAATACCAGGCCTAGTTTATGCAAACTAGTATTACACAACTCGGATATGGCATAAATTATCATAATATTTCTACATCCAATGATACAACTTTTTTGACTTGCTGGCTTCTTATTTATACCAAAAGCTGCTTGTCAACGGATGGGGACATAAGACCGTGTAAAGTATATCAGAGACGTGGTCGACGATCTATGGCCACGATCGCACCAATCTATTTTTTATTCATTATTTGTATTTGTTTTATTAGTTTGCATTATGTATTTGTTTTAGTTGCATTTTCCATTTTTACCCTTACTTAAGAGTCTGTTCATATGTAAGCCCTAGGGGCAACGTTGTCTTTTAGTTCCCTTTCATTGTATGAGGCTATTTATAAGCTCATTATGTTTCTTTTCAAGTTAATGAAGAATTATAATAAAAATTTCTTCAACTGTGTTTCATTAGAGCTTGAGAGCTTTGGAGAAAAATTCCTAGGAGAGGGTAAACGGATCACCCACCAACCTTGAAAGCGTCCGGGATCATGGCTCTTTTCTACCTAGATCTTTTCTTCTTCTTCCCTTCCCCTCCCTTCCACCATATGGACAAGTCTTTCCTCCCAAAGCTGCCGGCCATCTCCAATTCTTCCCACCGCCGGCCAACCCTAATCCCCCAACCCAACCCTAGCCTAGCTGCCGGCCTGTTCCCTCCCCCTTTGCCCCCAAAATTTTCAAAACCCCTCATCATTATTTTCCTTCCCTACATAGCCTCTTTTGGGAAAGTCCTGATTTTAAATATTCAATCAATTTTGAATTTTAAATATTTCCTAAAATATAATTCTATTTTATGAAAGTTCTTCAAATCAAATCCAAATTAATTTTGAATTGGATTGGATTTAAATCATCTTCCTTAATTTGAGAGTCCCAATTAAGCAAGTAATAAATCCCCTTCCCTAAACCCCCATCCCCATCACCATGCCGCCGGCCCCCTTTCTCCCTTTCTCTCTCCCTCCAAATTAATTCCCTTCCCTTAATTACTTCAATCAAGCCTCTCATTAGGGATTGATTTTTTCTCCCTTTCTCTTTACTTAAATTCAAACTTCAAACCCTATTTCCCTCCATCCTCCACCTTTAAAATTTCTACCTTATTTCCCCACTTCCCTCTCTAACCTAGTCGGCCCTACCCTAACCCTAACTCCACTAAAATCTGAACCTAAACTCTCCCAAGCCTTCTACCTTGGTCGACCACATTCCCATCCCTTCTTCTACTTGAATTCCTTAGAGTAACTTCTTTCCCTCAAGGAGAATCCTCAAGGACAACAAAGAGCGTCTTCCACAATACTTCAACGCCACGTATCCTATGCATGGCCGATCCTGAACTCAACTCCGGCTTCGTCTAGAAAGAAAAAGGCTTCGTCGACATCCTCCAATCACCCTTCTTCGACGTCAATCCGGAGGTAGATAAGAGGAATACGTGAAGCGCATCATATTCACTCTTTCGGAAGCCATCGAAGAACAACTTTCTGTCGTTCAGTGGCAAATCACCACCACGCTAAGACAATGGTGAACTCTTTCCCCCTCCTCAATTTCCTTCATATTCTCCTTTGATTGTGGACGTGTATAAAGCATAAAGAATCTTGCAAAGCTCTCTGTCAAAGCTTAGTAAATGTAGGGAATGAGTAATGGACTTCTATGCATCTAATCTCGTTGTTAATATAGGGATGTTATTGGAAATCCTATATATTTGTTTATGTTAAATTTTATAATTGTTTTGTGATCATAACTATTATTGTATGACTTGGCCTAAACTAAGGCATCCTTTCTTGTTTTCCATTTTTGTCAAGTCGCTAACGTTTAATTCTTATTGCTCTTACTTGAAAGCGTGCAAATTCTTATATTCATCATTTAAAGCATTCATAGCTCTACATCACCACCGCTACGAACAAACATCCCAGCATCTACTTCACAACAAGCCATCCGGGAAAAACTTTTAGGCACATTTGCAAACCGCAATTCTCAACTCTCGTTATTGTCATCTTACATTCTCACTGATACATGAGCACTAATTCATATTCCCTTACTACACCAGTGAAGATCACAAACAATAGATGAAAATTCATGCCTAAAGAATATAATAATGCCATTGAAAATTTGTCGAATAATAATCACATGAATTCTTTAACACATTGTGTTAATGCTAGAGAGTTCTCGAGAAGCGACGCCCTGACTTTGGGCGACCAAGTCATTAAAAGAGTACATGTTATTCAAATTAACAAAGAAATAGATGGGGATATTATTAGTAGAATTCAAGTTGGATAGTTAGAGTGGAGGAAAGCATCGAGCCTATTTTATGATAGAAAAGTACCGCACAAACTTAAAGGAAAATTCTATAAGATGGTAGTGAGACCTGGTTTGCTTTATGGCACAAAATGCTAGCCATTAACAGAGAAGCATAAATTTAAGTGTTGTAAAGATGAGGATGCTCAGGTGGATGAGTGGATTTACTCTTAGATATAGAATGCGAAACAAATATGTATATGAAAAGGTTAGAGTAGCTCCAATAGCATATAAGATTAGAAAGAGAATTATCTTAAATGGTTTGGTCACATAAAACATCAACCTTCCAATGACCCGATTAGGGGAGAGATGTATTAGATATAAAGGTTAAATCTTGAGCTCGACTCGCTAGCGAGCCACAAGTTCGAGCTCGATCTCAGCCTAGCTCAACTCGAAATCTCATTGAGCCGCTCGATTAATATATATATATATAAGCATTTTATAATATATTTTAATATTTTTAATTTAATTCTATATTAAAAATAAAAATTATAAAAAAAATATTTTTTTTTTAATTTAAAACTAAGACATCGAGCTCAACATTCAAATCAAACTTGAAAAAAGCTCGAGCTTATAAATTTTTTAAAGAGTCGAACTCAAGCTTTTTCTACGAGCTTGAGACGAGCTCGAGTTCAGTAAAAACTAAACTGGCTTAGCTCAATTAGGCAGATACTCGACTCGACTCATTTACACCCTTATGTTAAAAAAGCCTAAACCCTAAACCCTAAAGACCTAAAAAAACTTGATAAGAAAAGTAATAGAAATAACTTTTATTAGTAAATTTAAATGAAAGTTTGACTTTTAATTGGAGACAATGTCAATTTTCTTGAGATCTATGATATTACTCTGTTAATTTTTTTTATTTTTATCTTTGATATTATTTTTCCTAAGCACCAATGCATTTCTTAATCAAGGTTGTTCTAAAGTACTCAAACATGTAAATAACTGTAAGGGTTCTTTCTATGGGAAACCTCGATCCCCCAAGTTTAAAGTAAAACTTGATGGATTTCACTAATCATCTAAGGGAAATATTTGTCTAATGCCAATCTAGCTCCCATTGAATCTAATTGGTCTATTAAACAAGCTTGCCGATAATAACTAAGATTCTATTGTAATACAATGAATCTCTTTTAAATCCCATAATATACACAAACGCCATCACAAATATAATAGGAAACCCCTTCCATTGTAAGAAAAGATTAATAGATTCATTCATACCAACCTGCCACTCCTCAAGAGAAAGGAAGATATGCCATTATCATTAGTTAGAGAAGTCCTGGGCGAGAGCTCCATGGTAATCGCATCAATTTGAAAATCTCGGAAAGCACCATGAGGCCCAGTGGGCACCCCAAGGGCCTGAAGCAGGAAAAAGAAAGGTGATAAACATTTAGATCCCAACACGGCTAGTAAAACATAAAAATTAAAAATAAAATTACCTGGTAATACATTGAACTTGCAAGTGTAGCAGTGCCTTCAACAAAATCAGCAGAATTAACACCCAATTTCCATCCAAGATTTAAGCTTTCAGCCAGCCTGGTCAGTCGCTGCAATGTTTTACCAACATGCTTGAGCAGTGCAGAATTAAGTAAAAAGCCAAATGTCCCAACTCTTACATGCAAACCCTGTCTATGAACAGCCAAGTAATGGACAATATTTATCAGGTCAAGGTTTGGCATCTGTCCATTTGATGCCTCGGCATATATATCAACACGGTCCCTCTCACTTCTTTCCTTATCCATGACCTTAACAACAAGAGCAGCGGACATAGTTCCAGCACGTTTAAAATCATCATAGGCTGCTCCATCAAATGAAGACTGCTCCTCCACATGATTTTCTGTTTTCTCAAAACACATTTCAATACCAATTTTCCCAGAATCGCTAGAGAAAGTAGGATTATGGTAATCCTTAAGCCATGAAGCAACTGATGTATACTCGCCATACCGTGAATCTGCAGCAAGCCAGACAATATCTTTTGCCAGCCATACAACTCGGCTAAGAAGAGAGAAGACTGAATAGGCAAGGCCTAGTGATAAGGCTTCGTTCAATTTAATATTCTCTGAATTATAAGGGGTAACCAATACAATTGATTCTTTTCCATCACCACGAGGAGCTCGTATAATACCCACAGGACTGACACCATTTAATGTACAAGCGCTGCTATTTTGCGGAACTGCTGTGCGAGGGATAGAAGAGAAGAAACACAGAGGATGGAACTGAAGATTACGATATTTGAATTTATGATAATAAACCTCAGCACCCACATCTTCCATGTGCTTCCCTATCAATCTTGCAATCTCCCTGACATAGATAAGCTAAAATCAGAACATATATTATACCTGCAAGAAAAGAAAAAAATTTGAAAGATTGGATACAATGTGAATAAAGATAACTTTGTTAAAAAGTACACCACGCACTAAAATATTTCAACTAGCATAACAATCTGAGCTTTACAGACTTGTTGAATTGCATTAATTACAGTAATCCTTATAAAAGTCCAACTAAAAAATTTAATTGACAGCACAACTAACACTTGAAAAATTTTAAGAGCACGTTTACAAATATAGAATGTAAATCAATATATTTTTTTAATAGCTAAGCAATTAAATATTCTCAACAAATAAAGGTAGCTAGCATATGTATAATAAATGGCAAAATATGCACCAACAAAAAGGGCAAATAGAATTAATATGAAAAAAATGGGATGGAAAAGGAGTGAAGTTAAAACCTGTGTAAACTAAATTTGACACCACTTGTTTTGCTAGGCATAAATGAATGCAGGAGGATCCATAAAGCTGACCACAAGTGGTTGGGATAAAGCAGATGATACTGATCCTTTGGCTTTAATATTGATACCAATAAAAATTCATATATGCTGCTTACCTTTTGCAGTTTTGACATTCAATGAGTAAAGCAACAAAATTGTTTGTCCCACTGCTAGAAGAATAGGGGATTTTCTGGGAAAAAAAATTGTCCTCAGTTTTATTTATTACTAAATGCCAAAAGGGAGCCCGTCAAATGAAACCAACATTTGACTACTTTTTTCTTGATTTCAAATTCCTAGTATAAAGCAATGTTGACTGCCACCAGACCATCACTACCGTGGCTAACACGCCTAACCATTTTGGACAGTTCGCATGAAGACCGGGATGGCAAAGATACCGAAGAACTGCTACATGGTACCTGCAAGAGCAGTAAGCAAGGAGGCGGAAAGCAGCACAATAAACATAGGAAAAGTAGCTACAGAGCTTTCCATTGAATTGATGTGATTCTCTCATATTATTGTTGTGTAATACATGATGTATATATAGGCTTGTGGCTTTACACATGTAGGTTGTGGATTGTTGTTTGATTTGTTATATTTGGATGGATGGATGGATGTATCCTGGGCCGGTAGCAGTACTGTGGCAGAGGTAGTAGAGTTGTGTGTCTTTACTCCCCCGCAAATTGATAGTTCTTGTTGAACTATTAATTTGAGCCGCAATGTGAGAAATTTGGGTGTAGACAGTGTCTTAGTAAGCACACAACTATTTGGTCTTATGTGGCAATGGGGGCAACTGAGATATCTATGTTGTGAATATGATCTCGAATAAAATGTTGATCAATCTCGATGTGTTTGGTGAGTGCATGAAACACCAGGTTGTTGGCTAGGGTGATGGCCGACACATTATCACAAAAGATGGTAGTTGGACTGTGTAAGGAGATGTCGAAGTCATGCAGGAGGCGGCGAAGCCAAAGTACGTCAGCAGTCGCTGCAGCTAGAGCCCTATATTCAGCCTCGGTGGAGGACCGAGCGACTGTATGTTGTTTTTTTACACTCCAAGATACTAGGGAGTTTCCTAGAAAAGAGCAGAAACCTATTGTTGATCTGCAAGACATACTATCACTTGCCCAGACGGCGCCGGAGAAGGATGTCAGATGCAGGGGACCGGTGGAGATAGGAATGACATAGGAGGAGGTTCCCCGAATATATCGAAGGAGCCTTTTGAGGAGATGATATTGAGGAGGTTGAGGATTATGCATGTACTGGCACAGAACGTTGACGGAGTATGCTATATCCAGTCTAGTAATTATGAGATATTGGAGGGATCTAGTTAATTGGCGATAGATTTGAGGGTCGAAGAGAATTGGGTCAATGAATTTGGTTGTAACAGGCTTAGTGGAGGTGGGGTTTGAGAGTGGGTTACATTGTGATAGGCCAGCTCGGTGAAGAATTGAGTTGGCGTAGGATGTCTGTGATAGAAAGACACTTTCTGGAAGGTGTTTGATTTGAATGTCAAGGAAGGTATGTGCTGAGCCTTAGATATTTCATTGTGAATTTTTTATCTAGGCTTTGGATAAGTGAAGAGATTGATATGGGATTGTTACCAATGAGAAGTATGTTGTCAACGTAGATGAGAAGATAGATTTGAGTGTTGTCTGAGGTGAGAGTGAGGAGGGAATGGTCGGCTCTGTTGTGAGTGAAGTCGAGAGAAATAAGATAGGTGGAGAAGGTGTTAAACCACTGTCGTGGAGCTTGTTTGAGACCGTAGATGGCTTTATGTAGAAGACATACATAATGGGGGTAAGATGGGTCTTCAAATCCACGGGTTTGTTTCATATACACTGTTTCTGAGATATCACCATGGAGAAATGCATTTGAGACATTGAGTTGATGTATGGGCCATTGTTTGTTGAATGCAATGGTGAGAAGTATGCGAATGGTGGGTATTTTTGCAACGGGGCTGAATGTCTCGTTGTAATCGATGTCGTGTTCTTTGCGATGACCCTGAGCCACAAGTCGTGCTTTCTAGCGAGCTGGAGTGCCGTCGGAATGGTATTTGGTTCGATATGTCCATCGACAGCCTAGCGGTTCAAGCTTTGGGGGAGGAGAGACAAGGGTCCATGTCCCTTGGGTTTGAAGAGCTAGAAATTCATGTGCCATGGCATCTCTCCATTGGGGGTGTTTGTTGGCTTCAGCAAAGGTTGTGGGATCCTAGTTTGAGAAGAGGGTAGGGGATGTAGAGTAATATGGGAGAGGTCAAGAATTTGCTTAGGCTTAAGAGATCGGTTCTAAGCCTTGTGACCATCGGGTGAGTATTGGTAATGGAAATGGGTGGTTGGTTGACTGGTTGGATGAATTGGTAGGTGGGATATGGGAAGAAGATGTTATTGAGGTAGCTGGGGTAAGTTGTGGAGATGGTTGGGTTTGTGTGCTGGGAACTGCGGAATTAAGGGAGGTAGTTGATGGGGTATGTGGATGGTATATTGGGTTGGTGGTTGGTGTAGTGGGTCGGGTTAGAGAGGAGATAGGGGTCAGTAAGTTGAGATTGGGTTGCTGGGTGGGTAATTTGGTTTGTGGATGTGGTGTGGGGGATTGGTGGTGATATGGGAAGGTGGTTTCATCAAAGGTCAGATGCCTGGAAATAATAATTTTGTTGGTGATTGGGTTTAGGCATTTGTAGCCTTTATAGGAATCGGAGTAACCAATGAATATGCACAGAGTGGCTTTTGGGACTAGTTTGTGACGTTGTGATGGTGGTTTCCAGGGGTAGCAGGCACAGCCAAATGTTCTGAGGAGGGAATAATTGGATAGTTGGTTGTATAGTATTTGTAGTGGTCATGTATGCATTGTGGTTGTCGTGGGTAGTCTGTTGATGATGTGAGTTGCGGTGAGAGCGGCATCTCGCCAAAAGGTAGGCAGTAGACCGGCTGTGTGGAGCAAGGCACGAGTAGTTTCAATTATATGGCGATGTTTGCACTCGGCAGTGCCATTTTGCTCAGGGGTGTATGGGCATGATATTTGAAGATGTATGCCATTATTTTGAAGAAATGTGGTGAGTTCCTTGTTGAGATATTCTGAGCCCCCATTCGTGCATTGAGGATAGTTGGTTTTCAGTAAGCACTTTGAATTTAATGAAGATTTGAGTTACTTCATTTTTGTATGTCATGGGGAATAACCAGGTAAATTTGGAGAACTCATCAATTAGCAGCAAATAGTATTTAAAGCCTTGGTGAGATACAACCGGGGATGGTCCCCATACATCAGAGTGAAGTAATTCTAATGCAGATGAAACAATAGTTTGGGATCTACTAAAAGTAAGTTTGTGGCCTTTCGAGACCATACAAGTTGAACAAAGAAAACTAGAGGTAGGTATGCATAGATGCTTGTTCTGCGTGCAGATTGTGTGAATCACTTGATTGTGTGAGTGTCCGAGGTGATTGTGCCAGAGAAGAGTGTTGGTGGAGGTTGCGGAGAGGGCATTGGATGTGGATGCTAGCAAGTTAATTTTGTAAAGGCAATTTCGACATGGCCCCTGTAGCAGAATTTGGTGGGTCTTGAGATCCGTGATGATGAAACTGGAGGAGGAGAATGAAATAGAGACATTATTGTCAGATGTAAGTGTGGAAATAGATAAGAGATTATGTCGTAGATTTGGAACATGTTGTATAGAGGAGAGAGAGAGCTTACGGTTTGGGGTTGGTGCACCAGAATGCGCTATGGGAAGCACTTCTCCGTAGCCAACTGTGACATTGTCTTGGCTGAGATACGTAGTTCGTTGTTGCATGTTACCAAGATGCGGGGTGAGATGAGAGGTCGCTACTGAGTCAATGTACCAGTCAGTGGATGGAGATGATGTGTCTGCTACAAGTGCTTTGGGAGATGCCACTGGTTGAGTTGGAATGTACTTTGCATTAAATATGTGCCAGCAATGTGTTGCGGCATGGCCGCATTTGTTGCAGATCTAGCACACTGTTGGAGATGAAGTCGATGGTCTGCTGTTGTTGTCAGGTGAGAAGCATCCTCTTCATCTGCGGCCGCGACCTCTGTAGGTGTAGAGAGTCGTATGTGTGTTCAGGTATGACTGTTCAGGGATAGTTCAGCTGCTAGGTTGATCTCTTCGCTGAGAAGAAGCGAAAATAGATTCTCCAGGCTGAGCGAGGACAGCTTTGTGCGGATAGAGGTTTTGAATGCCTGATAGGAGGGTGGAAGGCCATTGAGTGTGCACATGATGATGTCTTCCGCATCTATTTTGGATTCAATCGCTGCTATGTTGTCGACCAATGTCTTAATGTTGGTGAGATAATGCTGCATTGTGAGATCCTTCATAGAGATGTTGTGTAATTTGTTTTTCAATTGAATTACACGTGAGTGATTGGACACTTGAAGGCGCAGCTCGAGGGTGTTCTAGATTTCAGAACAGCTTTCCAAATGAAGAACATAGGGAAGTATAGCTGTCGATATGGTAGAGCAAATCGTTGCGGCTAGGTTCTAATCAACGACGAGCCATTGGTTATATGCAGGGTTGGGGTTTGTAGTGTTGTCCGATTGAAGAAGAAGATGCGGGGGCATGGGAGTGCTGGAGTTGAGATGTCCACCAAACCCGTTTGCCCTTAAAAGCTTCAGAATCTGTGATTTCCACAATGGATAATTATTGTTGGAGAGAGGAAGAGGAGCTATTTTCTTGATGTTGGCGAGGACCAGTCTGAGTGGGAAGGGGATGTGTGGTTGCTCGGTTGAGTTCTCTGTGTAATGCTCGGCCACTTGGGAAGTGGAGGATTGCGCCATTTAGACCAGGAGTATTTGTTGTTGTGTTGAGCTCCTGCTCTGATACCATGAAGAACTGCTACATAGTACCTGCAAGAACAGTAAGCAAGGAAGCGGAAAGTAGCACAGTAAATATAAGAAAAGTAGCAACAGAGCTTTCCATTGTATTGATGTAATTCTCTCATATTACTAATGTGTAATACATGATGTATATATAGGCTTGTGGCTTTACACGTGTAGGTTGTGGATTGTTTGGTTTGTTATATTTGGATGGCTAGATGTATCCTGGGCCGGTAGCCGTATTGCAGAGGTAGTGGAGTTGTGTGTCTTTAGATACCACATGAGTCGGGATTTGATATCAGTTTTAATAAGCTACATTCATGCTAACTCGTGACATATTATCTACCCGGCTGATTTTCTGCGTTATACCTTGTTAATGTTTCAAGATTAATTTAATTCACTTGAAAAAATCCTATTAAAATCATCCATCCATATCACTCATGACCCATATTATTTATTGGGTTCTTAAAGCTGCTTCTTTGCAAAAGACAACAGTTTTCCCTTTCAGCAGATAATCCAACCAGAAGTGCTCATATCTTTAGAGCGCACCTTAGTTTTCAAAGCATGTCCTCAAAAGTACTTTTTTAAGGTATAGTATGCAAGATGATTTCGAAGAAGAAGATCTTTAGCTCTGCCGAAAAAATAATACAAGATGCACCCTTAAGGTATGCTAAAAAAGGTTCCAAAATAAGTCTTGTAGATCCAACAACCAAGATTAAAATGATGCATCTGAAACAATCACAAAAGAGAGAAAACACAGCCAAAGAAATGCCAAGGTTGGAGTGCTTTAACTTCAACCAAGCTTAAGTGCACAAAAGAGGAAAAATGAAAGAAGCCAAAAATTTGGTGCACAAAGTAAGACTCATCAACCCTTTTCAATTCTCAAAGACAACTTCCTGCAAAGAAAAAGAACAAAAAAGAAACCCCCAGAATCTCAAACAAAGAAATCACCTCACAAAAAAAAAATCGTCTTGCATGCACTAATAAAGCCACCAATCCTCTAGAAACCTTGTATCCAAGAGGGCATGAGAAAAACCAAGATATATCATTGATTTGCTTTCCTGCAAAAACCTAGATCAGATATCATCACATGTAGCAATCAGATATCCCCAGGAGAAGATCGAGGCACCTCTAATTCACTAACCTACAGACAATAATATACATGGCAGGGAATCCACCAATATCATGAATTGTGAGAAGAGCCATACACATAAGTGCGCAAATTGTGACCTAAATCTAATCCAAGAGATCTTCAGAAATCCAAAGCACGTCATTGTATGACCCAATCCTAGATATTAAAGGCATTAAGACACAGAATATGTTTCCTATTTTGTATGCCACAATTGTGACTTTTTTGTTCATAGATTAAATCATCTCTCATCTCATGTGGGTGTAGGCTCGATTGAAAGTAAAGCAAGTAAAGCTTGGTGCTTTTCTAGTTATGTTGTCTGCCACTTCTATAGTTGCTACAGGTGCATCGTTCTTGATCCTAGTTGACGCTTCTGCATTGTGTCCTGTGACACCCTCAATATAACATGTTAATGGAGTTCAAACTGCAAACATGTAGCACATTTTCTCCTTACAACCGATCACTTCAAAAATTGTATGACATCCAACCATATCTGATGTAGAACAAGGGGGGATGGGAAAAACCTGCAGCATGCATGGGTTTGGGGAGTAGATTGGTGGAGTTAATACTCTCCTAAATTAAATTTCAGTTTTAGAAAGAGAGACAATCAATCCAATTTAATTTGAAATTGATTTGGATTGATTTAAGGGATTTCCTAATTTAACACTAGATATTTTAGGAAAGAATTTGAAATTTGAATTTGAATTCAAATCAGATTAATTCTCTTTCCAAAATAATCTAGAATACTTTAGGACAGTAAGCTATCAAAGCGAAATTGGCTCCAATCAAGAGAAAGAGGGGAGGGGCCGGCCTAGAGAGAGAGAGGAGGAAAGGGATGTCTAGGTTTAATGTATTTTGGTTAGGGATTAATTAATCAATCAATTTCAAATTTGATTAATTAAAAGAATGAGGGAAGCTTTCAAAATTAATGTAATTAATTGGGAAGGATTTGAAATTCAAATTGGATTAATTTGAATTTAAATTCCTTTCCAAATTAATGATAATATAATTAAGGAAAAAGGGGGTTTTGCAGAGAAGTGGGGTTAGGGAGGAGATGGCCGGCGAGTTTATAGAAAGAAAAATAAACCATGAGCCCGGACGCTTCCTGCAGCTGATGGGTGCTACGCTGTCCTCATATAGGGACTTCAAACCAAGAGCCCGAACACTTCCTACAGCTGGTGGGTATTTAGTTGCCCTCACATAGGGACTTCCACTCTCCTAAGAACTGCCATGGCTCTCAAGAACAAAGTGCAAAAAAAAATTATTAATAATCCATCATACTAATACAATAGCAACTCGAAATAAAAGAAACTCAAAAAAAGACAAACATGCCCCTAGGGCTTACATAGGACTACTCCCTCAAGTGAGAGTAAAAACGAAAAAATGCATAAATAAATAAATAAATACAATTGATGAATTAAGATAAAGTGGAATGATCTCCGTCATTGATCTTTGTCTCTTCCTCATATAAGCGTTCACTGTCGGATGTCCGCATCAATATATTCTCCTCTAAATGCATCTTTTAAAAATCGTGAGCACTTTCATTAGTTTCAAATTTTGTGTTTAAAACTAAGATACTTAAAACATTATGTTGGACATACCATTTAGCATGCACCTTTTTTTTATTGTAGAGCTCTAGCATGATTACATACCAAATCATTTTTATTTTAGACTCCCACTCATTTTTTCTTTCTATGAATATACCTAAACATTATTTTCACTAGAGTAAATCCCAAGTCATGTGATCTAAAATATGGCTACAAACGTTACTTCTACTATTCTATGTATGATACTACATCTAGTTATTACTCACAACATAGTTGTAACTGTATCTATCATTTTTCCAATATTTTCAATTTCTGTCTTTTCCATACCATATTTGTGTCGACAGTCAAAGTCCATGCAGCATAGAACAAACTTTTTTTCTTTAATATAAATGATCAAAGTTAGGGGATATTTGATTTGAAGTAAACGTGGTGTAAAGTATTCCAAATGCAAAGATTGTAAAAATATTAATGTTTAATATGAAGTTAAAGAAATGCAGAATAAATTTTTAAAATATTTGAAATTCACCCTCTAGTTTAATTTTGGTGTATTTAAGCATTGTTAGATTTAAATTCTCTGCTATTGTCTCCACAAGTCATCATAGCAACCGCCATCTACCGCCCGCCACCATTATCACCGTTCATCACCAATGTATGGTAGAGGATGGATACTAGCCTCTAAAAAAAAAAACTATCCAACAATGGGTTAGATAACTGTAAAGGGATGGCTGAAAATTGCCCTTAATCTACCCTTATTTATGAATTGATACGAGTGCCTAAGACTTCAAAGATAGGATCTCTGACCAAGGCACTAAAGTTAAGTCTATAATCCACTACAAGCAATTACCTTGAGAGGATCCTCAAATTATTAGTATTGCCTAACAAATAGTTTCTCAGGCCATCTTTTCCGCTAACAATCACCAAGAATATGCTCATGAAGGTTATTGTATCTACTATCTCAAACTCATACCAAGCAACTACAAAAATGAAGTATTCTCATCAAACAAGTATCTAAGTCTTCTATGAGCTTGTACAAATCCCATATTCATGAATAAATGTTCAATTGGAATAAAGCTCGCAGGAACAAAAGCTCATTTTCATCATTAAAGCATAAAAAACTTAAAAATAATGCATTGCTCAATTCCTTGAAAATATCCATGGATTATTTATGAGCTTTTATTTCTAGTATTAAGATGGTCTTCAGAGCATTTAGAATAGTTGAACATAAAAATGTTTATGCTTCTAAGTTATCAAATATGAGTATTGAATTTAGTGTTCTATAGTTTACTCTTTTAAGATTAATAACTCCTTTAGGGTTGTTACGGATTTGTCGCGGGATTTACACAGGATTTATGATAAATCCTACCATAAATCCTACCAAACAGTTTTCGAGCGAGCGTGTAGTAAATCGCAATCCCTAGTAAATCCTGGATTTACGGATTTACGGCATAAATCTAGGATTTAGTAAATCCAGTCATTTGGCGGATTTATGGATTTAGGGACTACGCGATTTATGAGCTTGCAAAGTGAGCTAGCTCCCACCTTGAAGGAAGGAGGAGACAAAGATGGTTACCTATGCAAAGAGCGAGCTCCTGTCGTGACTTTCGATCCAACGTCTTCAAAGAGGCAAAGAAGCACGCAAACTCCCGTTATGCAAAGCACGCGCATCCGAAGCAGCCATGAAGAAATGGCGAAAAGGAAAAGCGACAAAGAGAAAAGCAAACGTAGACGGCCTACTTATTAATATAATTAAAATACTAATAATTAATTAGATTAATTATATAATTAGTAGTATAACTAAGTAATTTAATTTAATTTAATTTAATAATTATTGGCATAATTCTTATTAAATTAGTTTAATTAATATTTATAATTTGTTGGTTATTAGTAGTATAATTATCATTAAATTAGTTTAATACTTAAATGATTAATTGCATCATTACTTAGTAATATAATAAATAATTTGACAATTAACACCTTAATAATTAATTTGATAATTAGTAATAATTAAGCTAGCTTCTAATTGTATTATTTATCATTATAATAAAGATAATTAAAATTAAAGTTAATAATTCTTAAATTCAAGCACATTAAATACTTAACACGCAAATTAAATTCAAAGCACATTAAATCCCTAACTGTACATAAAATTTATAGCTAGCTTATTGATGTAATTCAGCGCTGCGTCTTCACATTTAAATCCCTATCTGTCATAAATTATGAAATATATTACCAAACAGTTTCACATGATTTAATAGGATTTAACATTTGTCATACCAAACAGTTTATACGATTTAATACCTCAAGATTTACTAAATACGATTTTACAGGATTTATTAAATCCTACTAAAGTTAAATCCAATCGATACCAAAGAGTCCCTTAATATCTACATATACATAATGTTTGTGGTATTCTATGGCATGCCTTTAATTTTCTTATAGCTTAC